CTTGTGCCTGTAATCCCAGTTACTTGGGAGGCTGAGACAGGAGAATCACTTGAACCTGGGAGGCGGAGGTTGCAGTGAGCCAAGATTGTACCATTGCACTCCAGCCTGGGTGATAGAGTAAGGCTGTAAAAAAAAAAAAAAAAAAAAGACTTTACCTACACAGAAGTTGACGTTGACAACCAATAGCATTTATCTGTTCTTAGGAATAGAATGTTTAACTATACAAGCAATTTTGTTTTGAATATATGCAGTGAAAATTTTAATGTATATTTGTTCTCGTGTGTGTGTGTGTGTGTGTGTGTGTGTATGTGTGTGTGTGTGTGTGTGTATGTGTGTGTGGTTTTATAACTTTAACATATTTGATGATCAGTGGCTAGTTCTCATCCGCATTGACTGACTATAGATTTTTGAAAGTGGTAATAGGTACACAGGTAATCAAAATATAGAGCTCGTTTGGCAAATCTTCATTTTCATTACATTTCCTGGACGGCTGCTCACATATTATCGTATAGGACATTCCTTATTCCTTTGGTCCAGACAACTTTGTTGAGCCTCGTGTCTGTGAACACGTGTCTCCTTCTTAGCAAATTTCCAGATCTCTTTGAATGCCCAGGGGCAGTCTTTTTGTTTTGTTTTTTTTTTGTTTTTTGGAGACAGAGTTCTCGCTCTGTCCCCCTGGGCTGGAGTGCAGTGGCGTGATCTCGGCTCACTGCAAGCTCCGCGTCCCAGGATCATGCCATTCTCCTGCCTCAGCCTCCTGAGTAGCTGGGACTACAGGCGCCTGCCACCGTGCACTGTTAATTTTTTTGTATTTTTAGTAGAGACGGGATTTCACCGTGTTAGCCAGGATGGTCTCGATCTCCTGACTTTGTGATCCACCTGCCTCGGCCTCCCAAAGTGCTGGGATTACAGGCGTGAGCCACCGTGCCCGGCCAGGGGCAGTCTTCTTGAAGCACACTCTGTGGATACCCTTGTGAATGCTGATGATGTGTTCTCAGGTCATCAACTTGTTGGTGGCAGAGCAGCCCTTCTTCTCACAACCCTTCTTTGTAGAAGCCATTCTACCAGGCCTAACTTGGAAAGGAAGTACATGAAAGGATTGTCCCCTGATTTTTTAAGTTAAAAAGTTTACCTGTATCATTTATATGATTATATGATACAGGTTGTATACATATATATAAATATAAATGTATGTATATATAATTGTGTGTGTATATAAATATTTATCACTTTGGCACTGTAGCTTTTGAGGAATATTTGTTGCCTTGGCATTATTGTAGGTTTAGTCGGTATTGTTTATAGATCACAGGTGTTTAACTTTTGTAGTGTTATCTCCAAGAGTAATAAAAGTTAAGGTGGCATAAGGTAATCTGTGTGGAGACTAATATACTTAATTACTGAACAAATTGCTTTTCAGAAGAATTAAGAAGGATGTTTAATTAAACAAATTGGCAACTACCTCCTACTCTCTAAACCCCTCCTCTACCCCTACCTCCATCCAAGTTGCTATAAAGCTGTACTATTAGTGTGGCTTTCATTTAAAAACTAAATTTTATTTTGAGACAGAGTCTTGCTCTGTTGCCCAGGCTGGAGTACAGTGGTGCAATCTCAGTTCACTGCAACCTCCACCTCCCAGGTTCAAGCAATTCTCTTGCCTCAGCCTCCTGAGTAGCTGGGAATACAGGCATGCACCACCACGCCTGGCTAATTTTTGTATTTTTAGTGGGGATGGGGTTTCACCATGTTGGCCAGGCTGGTCTCAAACTCCTAACCTCTAGTGATCCACCTGCCTTGGCCTCCCAAAGTGCTGGATTACAGGCATGAGCCACTGTGTCTGGCCCTAAAAGCTAAATTTTAAATGACATATTAAACTGGCAACTACCCCCTACTCCCTGAACCCCTCTGCTACCCCTGCCTCCATCCAAGTTGCTATAAAGCTCTACTATTATTAGTGTGGCTTTCATTTAAAAACTAAATTTTGATGATAGACATACTTTTCCTCCTGCCTTCATTACTGAAGGTGGAATGAATTTGTTAGAATTCTGACTTAAGTATGAAGTAAAACATTTTTTGTATTGAAAAAATTTCATTTTTGTTTAGAAAATTAGGGTTGCCCCCTCCCCCCTGCCTTTTTTTTTTCTTTTTCTTTTTTTTTTTTAAGTGCAGTCTTGCTCTGTTTCCCAGGCTGGAATGCAATGGTGTGGTCTCAGCTCACTGCAAGCTCCGCCTCCCAGGTTCAAGTAATTCTCCTGCCTCAGCCTCCTGAGTAGCTGGTATTACAGGCACCTGCCACCAAGCCCAGCTAATTTTTTGTGTTTTCTTCTTTCTTTCTTTCTTTTTTTTTTAAGACAGAGTCGTGCTCTGTCACCCACGCTGAAGTGCAGTGGCACGATCTCAGCCCACTGCAACCTCTGCCTCCTGGGTTCAAGCCGTTCTCCTGCCTCAGCCTCCTGAGTAGCTGGGACTACAAGTGCATACCACCATGCCCAACGAATTTTTGTATTTTTAGTAGAGACAGGGCTTCACCATGTTGGCCAGGCTGCTCTCAAACTCCTGACCTCGTGATCTGCCCACCTCGGCCTCCCAAAGTGCTGGGATTGCAGATGTGAGCCACCGTGCCCTGCCACTATTTTTGTATTTTTAATAGAGACGAGGTTTTGCCATGTTGGCCAGGCTGGTCTCGAACTCCTGACCTCAGGTGATCCACCCACCTCGGCTTCCCAAAGTGCTGGGATTACAGGCATGAGCCACTGTGCCCGGCCATCCTTGTTTTTAATTTAAGGAATTATGTGTTGTATATTTTCTCTTTGAATGGCAGCGTGAGAGATTTCTTAATTTTTGGCCTTTATAAAATGAGTCTGTGATCAACATCATATGGCAAATTCACCTATAAAACAAACAAGCACTTTTACAGAGTACCCTTCCTATAAGATATACCAGGATTTCCTCCTCTGAAGTATTCACTTCACTCATGAAATATTTGAATGTCTTTTTGTGATTAACAGTAGCTGTAATCAGAGACAAAGATTAATGTGCTTCTGTGTGTATACCTCATGCAAAAGAAATTTACCAAATAAAAATTCAGTTTACCTCATGCAAAGGAAATTTACCAAATAAAAATAAATGAAAGGGCATTTCACTCATAAATAGGTATTAACCTTATTTAAAAGAAAAACCAGGCCAGGCGCTGGGTCACGCCTGTAATCTCAGCACTTGGGGAGGCCCAGCTGGGACGATCTCTTGAATCTGGGAGTTTGAGACCAGTCTGGGCAGCATAGTGAGACCCCCATCTCTACGAAAAACTTAAAAATTAGCCAGATGTGGTGGCATGCACCTGTAGTGCTGGCTACTCAGAAAGCTGGTGTGGGAGGATTGCTTGAGCCCAGTGGTTGAGGATACAGTGAGCTATGGTCGTGCCACTGCACTCCAGCATAGGTGACAGTGAGACCCTGACCCAAAACTAAAAACAAAAGCTCACCCCAGACAAACCGTGTTATATGTTTCAAACTGGAAACAGTAGACAAAAGCCTAAAATATACCACCTAAGATAAAACTTCGTTTAGAAGAAATTGCTTAAGTTTAGTAGTAAATTATCATAAAAATTTGTTTTCTAATGGTTTACTGTTTCCTGGCGCCTGAAAAACATTTTCAAGGAACAGCCTTTTTAACTTTGCAGTTAGGCTAGGGCTAACATCTGTAATCGCGGCACTTTGGGAGGCCAAGGCAGGAGGATTCCTTGAGCTCAGGAGTTTGAGACCAGCCTGGGCAACATAGTGAGACCTCATCTCTACAAAAAAATTTAAAAATTAGCTCAGGGTGGCGCTGTGCACCTGTAGTGCCCGCTGCTTGGATGGCTGAGGTGAGAAGATCACTTAAACTCAGAAGGTTGAGGCTGCAGTGAGCTGTGATCATGTCATTGCACTCCAGCCTGGGTGACATAGCAAGACCCTGTCTCATACATACTTATACATACATATATACATACATACATACATACATAAGAAAATTTGTAGTTAAATTGATGAGTAAGTAGTTTGCTATTATTTACAGAAGCTTACTTTGTTTTGCTATAGCTCTTAGAAGCTAAGGACACCTGAATTTGGTTTATATTGACGAGACATACATCTGCAGTTGATATTACAATAAACGTAGAGTTACTGTTTTAACAGCCTCTCCATTTGGATAACATGCGTACTCTAATAATACAGCTACAGGAAAGATGGTGAAAACATAGATAACTTCAGATTGTACATTTTCCAACCCTGTGTAGACTAAGAAATGTTCGCTTCATTTCATACTTTTGCTGTCTATGTATTTATGTTGGGCTTTAAATTCGACTCCAGGTAGAGTATGCACTGTGCTGTCTTCATTTTGCTAGCCTGCCTTGAGCAATCTGTTCTGTAAGAACCATTAGAGCTGTAAAGGAAGTCCTTTGGAAAAGAACATATTATAGATAAAACTTTAGTTTTTTTCTCTTTTTATTTTATTTTTTAGAGATGGGGTCTCACTATGTTGACCAGGCTGGTCTCGAACTCCTGGCCTCAAGCAATGCTCCCATCTTGGCCTCCCAAAGTGCTAGGATTACAGGTGCGAGCCACCACCCCCTGTTAAACTTTAGTTTTTAACTTGGTCCCTTATCTAGTGACTTTGTATACAAGTAGAAAGTATGATGATGTGTTTGTGTATGTGTGAGAAATATATGCTCCTTCTTCAGCCTCAGGAACCAGGCGGCTGTGACTTTGCATACTTTGCTGAGCCGGTGTTACTTCTTGGTTAGCCCTAGGAAATGAGATTAATGTCAGGGATCTAGGAGAGGGCAGAAGAGACAAGTCTGAGTATGGTATTTGTGGTATCCATCCCTTAGTTCGGCAGTCCAAAGCCCCAGATAATTTTTTGGCTCTTTTCCATCACAGTTACTTAGTGATTTTAAGACATATTTCTGCCCTTGATAATAACTTGGGAAACTCAAAATTTTTAATTTTCTCTCCCCCTCCTGATAGGTGCTGGATAGTTTACTAGTCCAGTATGGAGTGGTGGAGAGCTGTGAGCAAGGTACATGTCTTCTGAATTGCTTTCAAATTTGTAAAAGGAAGGAAGTAGAAATAAAACTAACTTTTATTTTCTTTGTTTTTCTCTTCCTCTAGTGAACACTGACTCGGAAACTGCAGTTGTAAATGTAACCTATTCCAGTAAGGACCAAGCTAGACAGTAAGCAGCTTGAAACTTTTAATCTTTATATAATAACTAAGTTAAGTACAGTAACATATTTTGTGGATTTCTCAATTGATAAGGGCTGGTGGGTGGCAGAGAGAAGCTTTATTTTACAAAGTTTGACCCTGTAATCGTACCTTTCTTTTTAAGTTTGAATGTCTAATAAGAATCTACATTGGTTAAAGTTGTATTACATTTTCAATATATCTTTAATGCCAATAATAGAGTGGTCTAGTATGAAACTAAATCACACCCTATTTGCAGAAACTCTGGGCTTTGGTATTGTTGCCAAATAACGTAAAGTCTCTCCCCCTCTCCCAGTCTTGTATGACACATATATTGTTGCTATTTTATCTAAAGCTGGTAAGTTGGATCATGTGTTAAACAACAGTGTTAAATGTTAAGTCTTCTTACTCACTGATTACCTGATTACTATTGTCATTTAGGAGCGTGCAGACGTTGGATCGGTGTAATTTGCTCTTAGATTTATGGGAAAAAATATATTCCAGTGCAGTAAACAGGCAGTACTTTACAGATCAAACAGTCTCCCCTAGGAAAAGATAATTCTATAGGCTTGAAATGATCTAATAAACTGAGCACTAGAGAGAGAGATGGGGGTCCCACAAATTTATGGCCTTTAACAGATCTGCTCAGAATATGAACATGAAAGAATGGCATACAAAGTGCTCAGTAGCACAGCACTGGTGTTAGGTGACTATGGAAGCCTGAACTACCTCCAGATACCATACTGGCAGGAGCAGGCTGACTGTCCTCTGTGTCAGACAGGTGAAAGAAAAGACCACACTGGCTGACTCTGAGCCCTGAAGGGGAAAGGTAAAATGAGCTGCAAGAGTAGGACCTCAGCTAGGTTACTAAAGGCAGTACTCACTTGGGAGGGACTATGAAAAGAAAGATAAGACTGAGAAGAAGATGGAAATGTGTATAAGGTAAATGGAACTTTATTTGTAAAATCAATAACACTCACATGGTTCAAAATATAAAAGATTTGAAGATGCACATAGTACAAATCTTCCTCCTAGTATTACTCCCCAACTACCTCATCTCTTGGGAGATAACCATGTGGAAAACATATGCTACATGTATCTATTCCTGCTTTTACACAAATGATACCATAGCATTTGAATGTTTTGTGTATATAAATATATTTTTTATAGTTACATAGTACTTGATTGTACAGATATGGCATGACTTTGATTAATCTCAGTTTGGATATTTAGGTTGTTTCCAGTCTCTTGCAGTTATGAACAATGTCGTAGTGAATCTCTTTTTGCGTGTCATGTGTATGCAAGCATGTATCTGTATGATAAATTCCCAGAAGTAGAACTGCACTTTAAATTTTGTTGTAGAGCTTGAGCTAGTTTAAATTCTCATCAGCGTTGTGGGGGTGTCCATTTCTCCAATTCTCCCCAACACAGGACTTTATCACACTTTCCCAATCTAGTATGTGAAAGTGATATATCATGTTAATTTTCACTTTTCCCATAAGTGAGAGTGGAGGCTTTTAATATGTTTAAACACATTCTGTTATTTCTTCTGTTTGTATCCTTTGTTCATTTAAAATTTTTTGGCAATTTGCATAAGGTCTCAGACATTATGGAAATTGTGGTATGAGTCATAAAACAAATTGACTTTTCTTTCTCTTCTTTTTTTGACTAATTTTGTTCTTCGGTTGTATCATGTAAGAAGACCAGGAAAATTTTACCTTTTATACCCTCAGTAGAATGAGGGATAAAAGTGAAGGCAGTGAGAAAGTAGAGGCTCCATAGTGTTTTAATTTTTATTTATTTTGAGGCTGGGTTATGAGACTGGCAATTTTTTTATTTTTTTATTGTATTTTTTGTAGACATGGGGTTTCACCATGTTGCCCAGGCTGGTCTTGAACTCCTGGGCTCAAGTGATCTGCCCACCTTAGCCTCCTAAAGTGCTGGGATTACAGGCGTGAGCCGCTGCACCTGGCCATGTTTTACTTTACAAAGATTTATATTGAATACTTGGTAGAGCCAAGTCCCTGTTGGAAAATACGAGATAATGTGATAAACCCAAGGATATTTGGAGATTGTCAGAGGCCTGTTGTTGTGGCCTTATTTGAAAACTTAAATTAGCTAAGGGGAAACAAAATGCTTATTTAACAGTTAATTAGTTGAATGGGAGAACATAAGTTGGAGACATAAGCTATATAGCTTTGAAGAGGCATAAGATTTTGGTAAGGATAAAGTAATTGATATTTAGCCTTCCTTCTTTGAAAACAGACAAACAGAGCATTAAGACTGCAAGCACAGGAAAGGTAGACTGGCCAGTCAAGGCAGAATTATTGCTGAAAAGAATCCTAACCACGACAGCAAACTGAACGTGGATACCCTGGTGTTCTCAAAATCTTTAGCGTGGTTGTTAAGAGATAGGTAGGCTTCCGTTGATCCCGAGGAGGAAGGAAAAGTCTGTTAGGAATTGTGTAATTAGTAATTAGGTAACTTAAATAAATTAGGCATTTTGATTAGGGAAGTAGTCTTCGTATCCTTTGTTCTAATATTCAGTCAGTTAACACCTATTAAATACTAAATACTGACCAAAAGTCGCCAATAAGAATATTTGGAGAGGGACTGCCTAATTTTAGTTCCTGCCAGTCAAGTGGCCTTATAGGAATATTGTTCTCATTCCCTCTGCAAGAATTCAAAGATGGAGAGAATTAGAAAGCAATGAGGTATTTAAAAAGTTAACTATCTAAGGAGTGGAAAACTCAGTTTTGTGTTACAGTGTTACAAAAATTGTTATTAGAGTTTTCTAATAAGCTTTTAAAAGGGATATGGAATATATTTTCATTCTGTGAGGAGAATTAATTTTATTTGAGAGGCATTGGTTGTAGTAGAGAAGTGTAAACTCCAAAGTCAGGTAGCCCGGACTTAGTAACCTCGACTTCTGAGTTTCAGTTTTCTCAGCTACAAAGTGAAGATTAAAGAGAAACAAATATTTCTGCATATATGCATGTATTTATAGCTTAACCCACTGGTTTGGGCTGCTTGGAGCAGTTTGAAGTGGCTTGAGCCTGGGAAAGTCTGGTCCTTCCAGGACTGACTTTGAGGACTTCCAGTGAACCCTATAGGCCTGCTCCATGGGCTCCACACATGACAGCCTGGTGTCATTTCTCCATGCCTTCTTTGGCAGGCCACCCAAAGCTCAATCTTTAGGTAAAAGGGCTATTTTGATAATTCTCAGTTTTCTCTTTGTAACAACTGTTGCTTGGAAGGCTGTGTGACCTTGATGTACTTGTGAAGTGAACTTGGAGGTTGAGTTCAATTCCAGAGCCCAGTTTCTTGGAATAGACTGTGTGCCACCACTGTTCTAGCTGACGTTGGTCAAGTTAATCTGTCATGGTTCAGCCCCATTTCTGAAATGGGAATAACTATAGTCTTTAGCTAATGAGGCTACTGAGAAAACTAAGATAATGCCTCCAAAACATGTTTCATAATACCTATAAAGTAAGATAGTCAGAGCTCAAAAGTTAGCAGCTATTAAGTATTTTTCCAACATGTTTGATTGCTGCTGCTGCCCCCCTGTTATTGTTTGGTATACTTCATTTCCAGTGATGGCTGGTCACTGACGCTGAGGAGCCAGGGACCTAGTTTTAACGTGGTTGTAGCTGCCTGTTACTTAAAGCTCTATGAATGTCATTTAAGAGGAGTCCTCGAATATGGCTGTCTTTAAGACAGAATTTAACATGGAAATTCCTGCCACCTTGTGGCTAAAATAAATCAAAGGTTAATAGCACACATATTCTAGAAAATAATAATACGTGTGTTCATTTTAGGCTTAAGTCTTGAATTATTAAAATAAAAATTTGACAAGTTTAAATTTCAAATTCATTAGTTTCATTAAAAATGGAAGTATGTGTTTAGTGAATGCACCTTTTCTTGCTCCTCAGAGCAAGAGAGGCTCACCTTTTTCCTTCCCTCTTCCAGAGATGTTGAGATAAGACAGTCAAGGACAGACATTACTCATGAGAGGATTTGTCATGTGTGACAAAGAAATAACCCCCTAGAAAATGTGTAGACATTGAGTTCTTACACTTTCTTTTGTTTGGGGTTATTCTGATGTTTTTGTTAGGGAATAGGAATGTTTATTCATACTTTAAGACTATCATTCTGAGGCAGGAGAATTGCTTGAACCTGGGAGGCGGACGTTGCAGTGAGCTGAGATCACGCCATTGCACTCCAGCCTGGGCGACAAGAGCAAAACTCCATCTCGAAAGAAGAAAAAAGAGAAAAAAAAACAAAAAAAAAGAAACTATCATTGCAGTTCCTTTGTATGACTGTATAAGGTAAATGTGGTTATGGTTAGAAGTGTTTGAAGCAACTTGGCCAGTGGCTAACGGTAAGAAAATTCCCATTTAAACTTTGACAATTGTGTAAATAAAAGACTTATTTTCAAAACAGAAATAAAGCAGCGAGACAAAGGGATTTTTTGCCATTCAGGGATAACCACTATTAAATTTGCCATAGTTTTGTAGACTTTGTCCCATGCATTGTAACTTTCAGAATTACAAAGATCATTCTGCAGAGTTTTGTGTGTTTTTCATTCAGTGTATTTATACTGATTCTAATCTCTGCATAGTGTTGGATCCTCACCACAGTTTACCTATCCCATCTTCTGTTGTGCATCATCTAGGGCATTTGCCCATACCGTTTCGTTTTGTTTTTAGAACCAATTTAGTCATGAAGCCCTACATTTGGGCTTCGTCCATATTTATTTCATTAAAGTACATCCTTAAAATCATATTACCCAGGCTTTCAGTAATGATTGCTGAATTGTGTCAACCCCTTATTCTTGGTACAAGGAGATCATTGAATTTATGACTTTTCAATAATGAGTTAAACCTCATTTTGTGAGGACCCTGTATTATATACAGGGTGACATCTGGGAATAAAAGAGATTTTTAGACATGGAATTTTATTTATTTTATTTTATTATCTTTTGAGACAGAT